TCGACACTTTGGTATTTTTAGTGCCAACCTGGCTTTCCAAAATACTCCAGAAACAATAGTCCAACGGTTTGGTATCCGGAGATTTTGGTTGCCATTGTGCGCTGGATATGAAGCGAGGAACCTCATTTTGTAACCATTCTTGGATGGCAAGTGCTGAGTGCAATGGTGCTGAGTCCTGTTGGAATGTCCAAGATCTGCGGCCAAAATGTTTGCCTGTCCAAGGCTTTAATACATCCTCCAGAATATTTTCGCGATAATAGTCGGCATTTATTCTGATGCCACGGTCGATAAATACGAGCGGAGAGCGACTATCGGCTGTTATTGCGGCCCACACCATCACCATGGCCGGCGCTTGAGTTCTGGTGGCCAATCGAAGGTGCACATTTTCAGCTAAGCTCTTTGGCGAGTAAACACGATCATTTCGTTTGTTTACAAATTGCTGGACAACGAATGTTTTCGTTTCTTAATCGGAGAAAATCAAATTCGACAGTTCACCACTTTCGACCAAGCGAAGCAACTCTTTTGCTCTTTTGAGTCTATTTTCTTTATGTTGCTGTGTAAGTTCTTGCAATTTTTGGAATTTCAATGGCTTTACCCCGAGCCCATTTTTCAACATTTGCCGAATGGAATTGCCATATGTTCAGCTCACGAGCCATTTTTCGGCCACTGCGACGCGGGTTTCAATCAAGTCGCTTCTTTACTTTACGAACCATTTCTGCTGATGTTGCTGTTTTCTTAAGTCCACTTCCTTGACGTCGTACTACGTTACGAGTATCTCGGTAACGAGCGATGGTACGAGAAACAAAAGATTTATTTACTTTTAAATGCTGGGGTGCTCTAACGATAGCCACTTGTGGTTTTCCAGCCAACTATAAAGAAATCACATTATCCCGCTTGAACTCCATCACGAATAACTTTTTTTCTGGAAAATTCATTTTAGTATTAGATGAAGTAAAATGGTCCACCAATTTTGGTACCTCACGCCAATTGCAAAATTTCCAAAAAAAGTGAAATAACTCATGCTAAGTCGAGAAAGTAGTCGATATAATCTATATGTGATACGACAATATATGCTCCACTCAAAATGCTCAACAATTGATATTAACGGTAGTCCAAATATATTTAAATAGCTGTGAGCATACATCTAACGGCAAAACCGTCCTAAAGTTGGGCGGGGCCGACTTTATGATACCCTACACCACTTTGCTAATTTAGTAGAGCTTCACATAACAATTAAAAGTTTTTATGGGAGAATTCAATCATACACGCTATGATTATAATTATAATTTAAAGTTCAAAGGACTAAATATGCCGAAGCATTCGTATCTTTTAAATTCGGACTTGTATTGCCCATTTGGTGCACAAATAATTTGAAATCGGATAAAAATATATGTGGGAGCTATATTCAAATCTGAACCGATATCGATAAAATTTGGCAAAGATATTTCTTTGCTGTATTTGATATATTTCCCTGAAAATCGTTGTTACGGAGTGCATATTACGGCTGTGGGTAACAAATACAACAAATCGGATAAACAATATATGCTTCACCAAATTTGGCATACTACCTTCAAGACTCAATTCGGTCGTGTTTGCCAAATTTCAACCCATTTGGGTAAACATTAAACGTTTGGTGCACAATAAAAGATAAATCGGACGAAGTTATATATGGGAGCTATATCCAAATCTGAACCGATATCGATAAAATTTAGCAAAGGTATTTCTGAGCTGCAATTGATATATTTCCCCAAATATTGTTGTTACAGAGTGCATATTGCGGCTGCGGAGGACAAAAATAACAAATCGGATGAAAAATGTATACGGGAGAAGCTATATCTGAACCGATTTCGATCAAATTTGGCACACTTCTTGCCTTACCACTATGTGGTGTTTGCGTGTGGTTTAATGTTAGAGTGTAATTGGAACTATAAATGTGCTAGATTAATTCGATTCTAGATTAATTGGATTTGGATCGATGATTGGCTTCAGGATAGATGTACTAAAGATTTTTTGGAAATTTGAAAAAAGTACAAAATTTACTACATTTGTTAACATTTGGTATTATATGATAGGATAGAGCTAAAATGTTGAAAAATGGTATTAGATTACGTATTTGGGGAATTGATGGAGGTGGCAATCTGAAATTTGGAATGAGTGTCTTTGTTATTTTGTATAGGATAGACGAATCAAATGGTGTTAGGGAATTCAAACATTAAGTGTACAAAGAGTATTAAAGTTGAATAAATTATCATAAAATTTTATGTGAGAATCAAGTGGGTACGATATAATGAAATGATTTCAAAAACGTGTACTAAGTTTATAGTCTAAGTGTACTAAATTGTTACTGGTGTACTAAATGGTGGCAATTTGATACAATTTCGTTTTGAGGGAAAGGATGGTGCTGGAATTTTGAAATGTTGCCATTGAGGTCATAGCTGGTGTCTAGGCTAGAAATAATGTCTTAGTTTTTAAAATGCGTTCCTCGAGTTGCGATAAATATTAAATTGTATTAAACACCGTACGCTGAACGGATAATTCTTGTTTTCTTATATTTGGCCTTAGTACGTTCGCGCTACATTGTCAGCAAAAGGTTCCCTCTATAATTTTAGATTCTATCCAACCATTCGTGTTTGGTTTTTTTATTACTCAAAATGCACAATTTGTTCAGATGGATAATTTTTTTTATCAAAACTTTATACCTCGTACTAATTTTTCAGACTCAAGTTCAAGTTGTATATATTATTTAGGGTTTTTCTCTTCCGGAAAGATTAATTTTACACCAAAAAATCTTAAATATCTTTCATTTTGAGCCTTAACGATGAGTATTTTAGTAAAACATTGCACAATGGACCCACATCCAATTTTTTTCCAAAACTATTTCAAAGTCTCCATATGTAAACCCAGAAATCAAAAGAGGCCTCAATATCCAATTTCAAAATTGCAGCTCTATCACTTTACCCAATACATAATTAGGTTAGGTTAAAGGATGCGTGGTTGTAAGAAATGCCACCACTCCACTCGGAGACCTTTTGGTCCATTGTGTTCATCCTAATTAGGGAAAGATAAGGGTAGACTAGAGAAAAGAAAGGAAAGAAGAAATAAGAAATTGTATAGGGAATAGAGAGTTTAAGAGGTTTATGTCCACGGTTTGTTAAAGCATCATCTTTAGCCATTTTAGTCGTCTGGCTGACTGAAGGATGGCTGCTGGCTCAGTGTCGGAGAGGGAAGACAAATCCGACAGAATTTGCCTACCCAGTAGCCTCTGTCTTGCTCCTATAAGAGCTGGACAGTGGCATAGTAAGTGTTCCACCGTCTCAATTCTTCCTCTTCCTGACAAAGCCTGCAGTATCGTCCACCCCCATTTGAATGTCATGGCCTTAATGTTGCAGTGTCCTGTAATTAGGCCTACCACAAATTTCAAGTCCATCTTCGTCGACCTAGACCTGCATTCGGAGATCACCAGCCAGATCTTTTTGGAGACATTACATCCCCTTCCAGATAGCCAGTTTTGCTGAAATTTCCCATAATAATGCTTATGCAGAATTTGGAAAAAGTGACGTAAGGGTGGTTTCACTGAGCTCTCAATCTCTAGATCTACGGACTCAAATCCGCGCCTGGCCAATTCGTCAGCAGATTCATTGCCAGCTATGTAACAATGTCTGGGGACCCAACAGGGTTTGACAAACGATTTAACCTTTTCCAGAGCATTCCAGAACCGTCATAGATTTGATTGTAAAAGAATTCAGGGTCTTCAGGGCCGCTTGACTATCGACATATATAGTCACCGGTCCGTCCAGTTCATTGACTCTATTTGCCAGCAGTTCTATGGCCTTCCTGATAGCGAAAATTTCTGCCTGAAAAACACTACTGTCATTGTTTAATTTGAAGGATCGTCGGATATTTAAACTTTCACAGTAGACTCCGGCACAGTAGACTCCGGCTCCCGGCTTCAACCGTTTATCAGGGCGTAAATTCTTGGTCTTTATATATATCTTATAGATTAAAATATAAGTTTCGCCTTAAGGTATGCTACATTTATTATAAAATATAAATTATATTTATTGTGCGATTGCTTTTAGTGAATACGGCTTTGTATGTCTTGCTAAATTATTCACTTTACCAGATGTCAATCAATTATTAAGACTTTAACTCAAAAAATTTTAAAAGTGTTTTTCATTCATTTCAGGACTGCGACCACCTATTTTTGATTCGAAATATATGATTTCTTTTATCAAAGATAATGTGTAGCCCAATCTGTTACTCTGTAATAAATTATAAAATTCTTTCGATTAAGGCTTTTCTTGGCTCATGGTAGCAATACAGATATATAACTGGTCAAAATTTTGTTTTCCATTCTCCATCCGATCCAGTGACTCGTTTTGTGTGCATCGGCTTTACAATGTAAGCGTGAGGGTTTTCTGTGGTCCAAATGGGATAATTTAGCTATTTTACAAACGGAGCTGAAGTTGCTTCCTTTTTCCCAGATCCGTACGCAATTTTCCCACACATTCGGCAACATTATCATGATTTTCAAAGTATTGTCGTTATATTTCCCATATTTACAAAGCATATTCGTTCAGCGGAATAATATAACTAATTATCTATTAAATCAGACTACTACCTTTCACAAAATAAAAACCACTTAAAAAAACTCAGATTATGAGCCATTTATTATTCCTCTGCTAAAATTTCCCACATGAGTGTCATGAACAAATCTCATCAGCGGCAGCATCCATGCACATTTTTGAGGGATTTTCAAAATGGAAACTTCAAAATTGAGAAATTTCATAATTTTGCCAATATACTCTCTCTTTTTTCTCACTCTCTTCCTCTCTCTCCATATGCAGATGGCTGGCTTCCAATCTCTTGGATAGGAAATTTTTGGGAAAAAAGAAAAATTCTTTTTGAAAATCTCCTTTCTTTTTCAAATGTGCGATCAGTTGCGGTAAGAGCTACTACGTGAGCGGTTCAAGTGGATTTTCCGTGCGTCCATACACAACTCGGCGGTGAAAAGCAATATAATTTTTTGTTGTTGTTGTTTTTGTATTGCGAAACAAACAAAGAAAATTTTGGAAGCAAAGAAAAATCTACGCAAACATATATATATGTATTGACTTCGAGTGAAAATTTGAAGCAATATCTTGTGGAGTTAAGAGGAAATCTGTGAAAAAAATGTAAAGTTGATGAAATTTTGTGAAATTATCAGAAAGAAAATTAATAGAAAAATCTCGATTATTGCGTTGCATTAAAAATTTTCAAAAAAAAAAAAAAAATATTAACAATTTCATTTGGTGATGAGTAATGAATTTCTGTTTTGCCAAAAAAAGATTTTGTCTTTCACACGGAACATATGGTGAAAATTTCTTTTAGAAATCTATATTTTTTTGATTGCATGAGTCGCCTACCAATTTTCACATTGGCCATGGTTGGCTGACGTTTTAAGTGAATTTTGAAAATTTTGTGTTTTTCAAGAAGTGAAAGTAAAAAATAGAAAAATGAGTATAACAACAACACCTTCCCTCCATTGGAATACCCAAAACAATGTCACAATAAATTCCCAATAAAATATGAAGAAACATGGCACAGTTTTCAACACACGTTTCTATGCACATAGACACACACACACACAAGCTTGACATACAAAAAAAAAAAACATATGTTTGGTTCTAAAATCAAATATATATACAAAACAAACTTAGATATCAAAAAAAAAAATCGAGTATCTTGGTCCACTAACGCACATGACTCAGAGAAAACAGATGTACACCGGTGAAAATGCTACAATAAGGAAATTTAGTTTCTCATTTTTTTATATATTTTTGAAATAAGGCCAAAACCAAAATGAAAATTAAATAAATTTACTTCAAGTGAAAATTGAATATCAACAACAAAGAACATAAAATTTATGAAAAACTGCCTACCTCCGAACGGGGCGACAGCGGAGGTGGTGTTCGGGCCAACAAGTCGTGCCAAGCCAACGACGCAAGAGGCCGCCTGAGGCAGGCAACTGCTTAGAGATCGCGTGTGTTTATTTTAGAATCCATTGCTGCTAAAAATAAAATAAATCAACAACAGCAACACACAAATAATGAAATGAAAAAAAAATAGAAGTGGAAATTGTGTGCGACCAAAAAAAGAAGAAGACGCTAAGTCTAAAACTAAAATACAAAATATATGATTTTAATAAATTTCAACAAATGCAAATAAACAAACAACATGTTTGCAAAAAAAAAAACAAATAAATAATTATAAACAAAAATAAATTCACATTTTTATAATAAGTGGCAAAAGAAAAGTGCATTCGTTTTATGGAACTGTTTTTTATGATTTGAATAAAAAAATTAATTGAAAGCCTCAAGTCACAGAAGTTGACAATTTGAAGTCATCATTGAAGCGGTTGCGTATGAGTGTTATTAATTTATTCAAAATCTGTTACTTGGGCGTATGATTAATAATAATAATTTAGCCAAAAATCTTGCAGTTATTTTACAAATAATTATCTGATTGAATAAACACGAGTATGAGGACAATGGTAAATTTCTAGTTCAATATATATTCTTAACAACTGAAAATGGCATTAAGTTCATTTTAATAACCTCCACCATGATAAAACCTGAAATTAGGTAAAAATCGTTTAAAAATCTGGTCAAAGTCTCCTCATAACTCCAAAGCCATATATACATATGGAATATTGTCGCGAGATGGTATTTTATCAAAATGTCTGAGATAGCAAATAACTACCAATACCAAATTACGCCGAAGCTACATAAAAACAAGTACAAAAGCTGTAAGTTCGGTCGGGCCGAACTTTTAATACCCTCCACCATTTGGTACAAATTTGGCAATTTCCAAAAAAAAAAAATAAAATCCGTTAAAAATTCTGTTAAAATCTTAAGAATACCGAATGCTTATACGACTACGTGGGCCTGCATAGGTAACTTTTGTCATAGGTTATTACAATATTTAAATGCGAAACTTGAAGAAAAATCTGTTTATAATGTAGCTAAAATCATTAAAATACCGAATATGGGGGGTACTGTTATATGGGGGCTATACGAAGACGTGGACCTGCACAGACCATTTTCTGGCATGGGCTGAAGTATCCATTACGAACTTCACATGCGAAATTTGAAACAATCCCGGTAAATAATGTCGCTAAAATCATCAAAATACCGAATATCGGGAGGTACAGTTATATGGGGGCTATATCATAACTTGGACCTACATGGCCCATTTACGAACTTAACCTGCCTACTGGCAAAATAATCATGTGTGCAAAATTTTAGCCTTCTATCTCAATTTGTTCAAAAGATAGCGTGATTACAACAGACAGACGGACAGACAGACAGACCGACAGACACACAGACAGACGGACATGGCTCAATCGTCTTAGAATTTTACGCTGATCAAGAATATATATACTTTGTAGGGTCTGACATGAGTATTTCAAGGAGTTACAAACGGAATGACAAAATTAATATACCCTCCATAGTATGGTGGAGGGTATAAAAATATGTATGGGAGCCGAATTCCACTAAATGAAAACGTACGTCTCAAAATTCACTCCATTTGGGCTGATATTAGCCATTATTTGCACAATAAACCAGAAATCGGATTAAGGATATGTATGGGAGCTATATTCAAATCTTAGCCGATCTCCATAAAATTTGGCAAATATCTTTCCGAGTTCTATAAGATATCTGGTACCAAATATCAGTGTTGCCACCTAATCTGATGAAACATATATACGGGAGCTAAAACAATTTCCGAACCGATTTTCACCAAATTGGATGTACTTGCTTCTAGACTGAATGCGCCAAAATTCAGGGCAGTTCGATTGATATTGACCATTTGGTGCACGATTAACCCGAAATCGGTTGAAGATATGTATGGGAGCTATATCCAAATCTGGACCGATCTTGATAGAATTTGGCAGAGGTATTTCTGGGCTGTATTTCGTTTGTAACATCCCTAAATATCCGTCGTAGACAATAAAGTATATAAATTCATGATCAGCATAAAATTCTAAGTCGATTTAACGATGTCCGTCTGTCTGTCTGCCCGCCACGATACATCCCACATAATTTGACGTAGAGCTTCAAAATTTGGCACAACAATTTGTAATGAAAAAGAGATATATCAATCCATGTTTTTGTTTAGCCGCTATATAACGGTACCTCCCGATAATCATTATTTTGACGATATTTGCCATATTTGTTCACGGATTTGCCTAAATATTGATATCTGTATTCCGTTATGGGTTCTAGCTCCAGTGCCGAAACATTAAATGTACAGGGTGACATAAAAAACTGCAACAAAGTCAAACGCCTTAATTTTTACATTTTTGTTTTAAATTTTATTGAATGAAAGTAAAGCATGTCGGAAATAGCATTTTAGAATAAGTTTGGATTTGTTCGAATTGGTCACCTTTGACACGAATTATGGGCTTCAAACGGCCAGTGAAACCGTCACACGCTGCTCGAATGTTGCTCTGCGGTATTTTGGCCCATTCCCGACAAAGCGCTTGCCTGAGGTGATCGACACTTTGGTATTTTTTAGTGCCAACCTTGCTTTCTAAAATACTCCAGACACAATAGTCCAATGGATTGGTATCCGGAGATGGAAATGAAGCGAGGAACCTCATTTTGTGACCATTCATGGATGGCACATGCTGAGTGCGATGGTGCAGAATCCTTTTCGAATGTCCAAGATCTGCGGCCAAAATGTTTGAGTGCCCAAGGCTTTAATACACCCTCCAGAATATTTTCACGATAATATTCGGTATTTATTCTGATGCCACGGTCGATTAATACGAGCAGGACCTCTTTGGTAAGTAAACACGATAATTTTGTTTGTTTACAAACTGCTGGACCACGAATGTTTTCTCATCGGAGAAAACCAAATTCGGCAGTTCACCACTTTCGGCCAAGCGAAGCAACTCTTTACCTCTTTTGAGGCTTTCTGTTGCTGTGTAAGTTCTTGCAGTTTATGGAATTTCAATGGCTTTACCCGACCTCATTTTTTAATTTTTGCCGGATGGAGTATTGCGATATCTTCAGCTCACGATACAATCTTCGGCCACTGCGACACGGGTTTCGCTCACTCGCTTCTTTACTTTTCAAACCATTTCTGCTGATGTTGCTGTTTTCTTCCGTCCACTTCCTCGGGCTACGGTACCAATATCACGGTAACGAGCGATGGTATGAGACAGAAAAGGTTTATTCACATTTAAATGCTGGAGTTCTCCAACGATTGGAGTTGTGGTTTGTTGCTTTTGGTTTCACAGTCCAATATAAAGAAATCACACTATCACACACCAAATGCTTTTGTTCGCTTGTAAATAATATAATGAGCTGTCACTGGAATAATTTTAACAGCTGTCGGACGAGTGGCTTAGAAATGACAGCAGTCTGAAGTTGATTGCAGTTTTTTCATCACAACCTTTACATGTTTGAATTCTTGTAATATTGCCCATACCAATATTTTTATCTGTATTAGATGAAGTGTCGACTATATTCGGTACCTTACGCACATTTTAACATGATCTAAAAATATCTCATATAAATTGAAGAAAGTAACCAATGTAGTCTAAACCTGGCTCGTTGCAATATTTATTTAGTTTCAATACGAAATGGAAGATATTGACCCATTACTTCCGATCCTACTCCATAGATGGTCAACAATTAAAAAAAATCAAAATATATTGAAATAATCGAACTTTGGCTAAGGGCAAATATCTGTCGGCAAAACCCACTGATACTTTGTTTCTTGCTTCTGGAGAAAATAAGAAAAATATGTATTTTCTGAAATGAGAAAGAAATTATCGGCTATTGAGGAATGCGTACATGTTATAATATTTTTCCCTAATTTTTTGGATTCCTTAGTTTCATTATATAGAGACTTGAAACCCGAATCAAATTTATCACGGAACATACTCAATGTAGGTCCAAATTTTGAAATTTAAACGAAATATTGTATAAGTTCTGACAACAACATTTAATTTTCAAAAAAATTTTTTGAAAGAAAATGTTTATTATAAACTTTTTGAAAATGAAATTAATCATAATCAAAGAATATCTCAGTAAATTCAAAGAATAGTATTGAAAGAAAGTAGTTCCAATTAATTGAAGAAAAACATTTGACTGTAGACAAATCTCCAGTGTGGATTCGAGTA